CACACACACATATCCAGGAAAGCTCAGTGAAGCTTTGAGTTTTAAAGAGATGGGTTTAAAGGGATGAAAAACACAATGTGTCATTGCAGCCTCACTGCAGTTATGTCAACTGGATTTTATAAACAACACCGGTTATTTGAATGCCTTTTAACTGATTGAATATTGTCAAAATGCTGAAAAATATTGACATATATTGCTCAAGGTGCAGGGTTAGCTACAGTTAGCTCAAGTCACGTTAGCTCACTGTGAAATTTAACTGTTAACTTTATTGTTCAACAGTTCATTGAACTTGATTGTAAAATTCTGGTCATTAGTACTATTTGTGTACTTTGCCTTAGTTACTCAATCTTAAGATAAACTTATTTGTATGAGTGAACATTTTGAGTTTATGAGGCAGAACAATCTTGTAATATCCCCAAACTTCTGTCAGTTATCTTCCTCTTTAGTTTCACTCATTCCTTTTTAAAAGTCAGAATGTTGTTAAATCGTCAATCTAACTTAATTATCATCTAACAAAGTAACTTAGTACATTGATGTTTGCCTAAATGGTTTTGTTTTACGCATTAATTCACCATTATGGCGATTAATGTTCCATTTGTACTTGAAACTTTTTATATATTAATGTATAATAAATCTCTTCCTTCCAATTCTCTTGTGTTATAATAAATCACAGTTAAATGTGCTTTCAAAGGATGGGCATTGAGTATCCTAATATTAATAAGTTGCTTTTTTTAAATAATCTATATTTAAACTAGATTATTAGCTAATCCATGTCTACTGTAGTAATATAACATTATAGCATAAAACCCTGTGCCATAAAAATCATACTATTGTTTTAACTGTACATCACACTATTATTGGCATTGATATAATCCCCCAAACGTGTGACAATATCTTGCAAGTGACCTTAATTGTGTCAACATTCAGCATCCAAAACACAGCTATGGTACATTTCAACAATGAACATTACATAAAAGATTCCTAATACTGACAACAGAAATGACAAACCAAGTCAGAAAATAGCAAAGCAACTGCATTATTTATTTCTGCTGCACTCTGGGAGTTAGCATACTTGTGGCTGAATAAGGATTTCTATTTAATTTAATATATCTCTATGATGGCTGCATTAATTTGAACTTCGTCAAATTAACACACACTGTATTCTGGTTACCTACCTATGATCAAGGGAATTTTGGTTTATCAGTTCATGTCCCCTTTAAGGCAGTCGATTTATAGTACAGTTCTCCTTCTAGGCAGGCTTTATCTCATATGCAGCTACACTGACCTTCACACAAGCTCTGATGAGTCATATCAGCCTGTAAATACAAACCCATTGTAGCACACGCTGACGGGGCTCTTAAGTCAGACGCACAAAACTGGCACATCCAACGCTTGCAGACTGCAGTCAGGATGCAGGTGCTGCTCTGGAACTCAATAGACCTTGCTGGAGTATCTACTTAAAAACTGCTCAAAAACTAGGTCTGCATCACTGTCTGAGCACTGCCTGAATGTGCAATTACTTTGACATAATACTGACGTGATGTTAAGACTGTATTGGCTGCCAGAGCCTCACAAAGGGTGACGTGAAGGGCTCTGGCAACATCAGAGGGGCCGACATTGTCGTCTAAATAGAGCTCATTGTGAGCTTTCTGGCAGATTCTGATACTGTGAACACAGCGTCCTCCTATTTTCCAACCATAGCTGGCTAAAACACAACACAACTATTGATGACCGGCTGAATAACTTAACAGTGTAGCATTTAGAGGAAGGAAATGGTGGTCTTTGTACCTCCCAAAAGCTGTCCATGGCCTCATCAGCAACAGCGGATTCATCGTAAGAGCCAGACATGGTGCTGGGTGATGCGAAGCAAGACTGAACACGTCTGCAGAAAAGCGGACTTCCTCAAGCACTAAAGAGAGAGAGACAGAGACACCTTCAAAAATGTATGAATGGTATTGCATTAAAGAACAAAATATCAAAGCAGCTGGCAAAACGAGTTGGAAAAGCACAATTCACAATCTCACAAAACATCTAGCTAGCATGATAAAACGCTCAATATCCAAAATCAAGAAAGAAGCACTGAAACTTTGTGATTATCACAGAATATGGTCATAGTTAATGTGATTTTCTACACTCTGTTATGACACTGTTTAACCTTGAAGAGAACTGACTTCATATATCCAGTAAAATAACCAACTAAACCAGTTGATTAAAGGTCAAAAATGGTCCAGAAAAGTACATTCTGAAAGCTCCTGAAGCATTTGAGAGCAGCTGACACCGAGACATGCTGGCTTCAGAGTCTGTTCTTACTTAGGAAACCTGCTTTTTCATCAGTTTAACAGTAGGAAATGATACAAATGCATGCATAAAGCAAAACAAAAATGTACCAATGTACCAAAACTGTACCAAGTTTAAAGACAGTATACAAAGAAAAAGAGGCGTTGACTATAAAAAAATACTCCAATCAAATTAAAGCAAACAATTTTTGTGTATTATTCTGTTGTGTGTTAAGTCTAGCGTGTTGAGCTCTATTCATGGTTGCTGAGTTGCTGCACTGTAAATCTGCCAGTTAGAAGGTTCCACCTCTGTTAGGATGTTTCCACTGGATTAAACAGCATTAACTGGATGGCAGAGCTATGCAAACAATCATGCTTTTATTTTGCACCCTGGTTTTTATACATTTTTTTTCTGTACAGCAATGCTCTGGTTAGCAACAATTAACAATGCAGTGCTAACTGCATCATAATAATAGCATGTGATGATGCTCAGTCATTGTTCAACACGAAGAATACTTCATGAGCCTCAACAGTGTGTCACATGTTCAGTTTGTTTTGTTATGGTTTTCCTTGTGTTTCCTGTTTGGTTCCTGTCTTTCCTTATTTGGTCACCTTCCTGTCCTTGTTTAGTTTCATTGATTAATCCCCGGCACCTGTGTTTTGTAATCATCCAGTGTATATTAGTTCCTGCCTGTTCAGTTCTCCTTCATCTGATCAACTCGTTACGTTCTCTGTGTTTCTTTATGTTTATGCTCAAGCTTTCGTGTTAGAATATTCCCTGTGTTTTCATTTATTAAAGACTATTTAAGTTATTCTACGTCTCCTCGCTCATCCCCGCTGTGTGCACCATGACAGATGATCAGACCAAAACAGATGATGGCTGAGGACAAGCTGTGGGGTTTGTGGCAGGCTGGTCGGAGGTTGGAGCGGTATGTGGAGGATTTCCTTGAGCTTGCTAACCAGCTGAGCTGGCACAATGCCGCTCTTGGTGCGTGCTTTCAGCTGGGACTAGACGACGAGACGATCCGCTGCGATTTTCCCATGTGTGATTATCCCCTGATCGAGCTGATTAATCTCGTCCTTTTCTTAAAAGATTCAGATTTTGAAGTGGAAGAAAGAAAGGAAATGTTTCAATCTCGTCGACCAGCCCCCACTGAGGCACACCGTGTCTTGTCAGCTCACCCCACGCCAGGAACCCCCACATACCGTACCAATGGCTCGGACCGCCTGCCCAGCCCCAAACACCTCCGAATACTCCGAAGCTCCACGATCGTCCTCAGCCCAGAAATGCTGGCCGCTTCCATGTCAAGCCCGCCGGCCGTTCAGCACTCAAGCCTGCCGGTTGATCCGAGGTCAAGCCCGCCGGCTGTGGCTCACTCAAGCCCGCCAGCCGTTCAGCACTCAAGCCTGCCGGTCGCTCCGAGGTCAAGCCCGACGACTGCGGCTCACTCAAGCCTGCCGGCTGCAGATCACACAAGCCTGTCGGTCGCTCCGAGGTCAAGCCCGCCGGCTGCGGATCACACAAGCCCGCCAGCCGTTCAGCACTCAAGTTCGCCAGTCTCTCCGCTGTCAAGCCCGCTGGTCATCTCCCTCTCCTCAGCCCAAAAGAGGAGAATGCGGAGGAAGAGACTGTGGGCTCCAGCCCCAGAGCTCGCTCCAGTGTCGGCTCCAGTGTCGGCTCCAGCCCCAGAGCTCGTTCCAGTGTCGGCTCCAGCCCCCGAATCTAGCCCAGTGAGGGCTTCTGTCCCCGAGTTTAGCCCAGTGAGGGCTCCTGTTCCCGAGCTCCCTGCTCCACCATGGCCTTCCGAGCTCCCTGCTCCGCCATGGCACCTAGAACTACCTGATCCACCCTGGAGGCCTTCCTTGTCCCCATCCTGCACCAGCCTCCAGGGCGCCCACCTCCCCTCCCCGGTGGAATTTTTACGGCGCGGGATGCACCTTTCGGGAGGGGGGAGTAATGTCACATGTTCAGTTTGTTTTGTTATGGTTTTCCTTGTGTTTCCTGTTTGGTTCCTGTCTTTCCTTATTTGGTCACCTTCCTGTCCTTGTTTACGAATCTAGCCCAGTGAGGGCTTCTGTCCCCGAGTTTAGCCCAGTGAGGGCTCCTGTTCCCGAGCTCCCTGCTCCACCATGGCCTTCCGAGCTCCCTGCTCCGCCATGGCACCTAGAACTACCTGATCCACCCTGGAGGCCTTCCTTGTCCCCATCCTGCACCAGCCTCCAGGGCGCCCACCTCCCCTCCCCGGTGGAATTTTTACGGCGCGGGATGCACCTTTCGGGAGGGGGGAGTAATGTCACATGTTCAGTTTGTTTTGTTATGGTTTTCCTTGTGTTTCCTGTTTGGTTCCTGTCTTTCCTTACTTGGTCACCTTCCTGTCCTTATTTAGTTTCATTGATTAATCCCCGACACCTGTGTTTTGTAATCATCCAGTGTATATTAGTTCCTGCCTGTTCAGTTCTCCTTCGTCTGATCAACTCGTTACGTTCTCTGTGTTTCTTTATGTTCATGCTCAAGCTTTCATGTTAAAATATCCCGTGTTTTCATTTATTAAAGACTATTTAAGTTATTCTATTTCTCCTCATCTCCTCCCCGCTGTGTGCACCGTGACACGGTGTATATTTTGAGTTTATCGACAAATCAGACAACAAAGACTTTTAGAATTCTAGATTTTTAGAGATGATTCTTTTTTGCAATCCCTTGTAAAAAAAAAAAAAGTGTGCTTCATTTTAATGCACTGTGTTCTTCAAATGTTTAAAGAAAAACAAGCTTGCATATGTAATATTAATAAAATAAAGCACTTTGTAATGATGTTTTACTTTAAAGTATATTTTAAATAATTATGTTTTAATAATATTGTGTCATGCTTTAAAATAGAGTTATTTTATGTTTTGACTAACATACTAAAGCACAGGTATTTGTTTATAATTTAACTGTAGTGTGTTATTTGGTATTACATTGGCAATTAATATATTTTAAATGTATTAAAGGTACAATATGTAAGTTTTCACCGCTAGAGGGCGCGTATTCAAAACAAACAAAGAAACAAAGGCGTAGTTTGATGACGGCGTGACTGAGTGTGGAATCATGGGAGTTGTCTGCTGCGTCCCAATTCGTCTACTTATACTATATCCTAAAAGTACGTACTCTTTTTGTGAAGAAAAAGTACATACTTTTGAGTATGTAGAAGAATAGTAGGCAAGCTTTGGGACATGCTACTTCGTCATAGCTGCTTCTTTAACGGACGCTCTGTTGCTTAGTTACGTGCATTCTGTCACTGTTTAAACTGCCCTGTCAATCATCTTATCGCAGTTAACATCCTCCACATTTCTTTTAATTTGATTTCCTACCGTATTGTAGAGAAATTAAGAGGTACGTTGATCTGCTAGTCGCGGGTCTATCATGCCGAGAACTCTGCTCATGTGTTTGCATGATGCATTTAAAAGTTAATGACCAAACGTATCATTATAAAAGTTCACAGTGTTGCTGCAGGTGAAATATGTGGATAACATTAAATTAATATTTTTTCATCAGGTTAGACATTGATTATTTATCACTCAAATCCCTTTCTCTACCTGTCCGTTGGTCACGTATATCTGCCATGTTTGTAGTTTTTTAACACTTTTAATGCGTGTTTGTAGTTCTAATTGAATAACTTTATTAAACATACTATGATTTGGGACATACTAATTCTATTTTCGAATACTACTTAGGACGGATAGTATGCGAATTGGGATGCAGCAGTCATCTTCATCCCCACAGCCGACACAATCCGACGGAACTCAGGCAGAAATCATGTTCATGGATGAGCTATTAACATCGTAGTATGAAGCAGAGTGAGGCGGAAAGCCGTCGAAGCGAAACGAGGCCGCTGAAGCAATTGCTAATGAGAGACGAGAGTGACACATGGCTCGAAAGCAGCAGAGCTTTTATTATGCCACACTTTAGCACTTCCGCTTCTTCCAGTCGAGCGTATGTGGGGTAAAGCAGCGCTGTTTTATCATACTATATATGTTTGAAAGTTCTGTTATAATGCTACTCTGTGCGGTCGTCACCTGTCTAATAAAATGCACAACATATTAAAGCGTCTTTGGTGTTTCCATGTTTTCTACAAAACAAAAAACCGGAAATCGAGGGGTTATGACGTCATTGGCAGGCGACACAATGACACTATGGACACGGTCCGTGTCACTAGTTAAAACTGCTTATTTCTCTGGATTTAAACATTCTTCAAAACATTTGGGATAATGTAAGAACACAAGTCAGCAAAATATATAAAACTGTTCTAGTGGTTTTTGGGTATTTTAATACAAAAAATCTTACGTATTGTGCCTTTAAAATTGCGACAAATATTTAATTAAAATGTATTTAAATCCATGACATTTTAAAGCCATGACTTCCCTGCGAATCAAACCCATGACCTGATGTGCTGCTGTTTGAGCTGCAGGAACACTCATTTGACTAAGTTTGCTGACTATATGCAACAAAGCCTAGAAATGCTGCATGCTGACACTTTACTAATTAACACATTTACTGCAAACTACTTATCAAAGGAAAACAAACTGTTGTGTATGCTGTCAAAAAATAATCACAAGAAAGAAAAATAAACCAGAACATGTGTGACCCACATGGGCTTCACGAACCTAGAAGTATATCTGAGACAAATATACATAGATTCATAACACAGTAAACCTGGAGCCCTGAGGAAACGTGAACATGGTTTAATGAGTCTTTAACCCAGATTCCAAAACCCAAATTCCTTAAGCCCAATGTCTGATGACAGAGGACCCATAATGACACAGGCAGCCATCGTGTAAGAGTCTTAGTTTATTAGCTATTTGCACCTCATGGCTTTATAATGGCCAAGTAAAATGTAGCCATATAACATAAAACACATTATTGTTGTTTGCATATGATAACTGCCCTACAAACTGTGCTGAAATCACTGAAGAATGTTTCATTAACAGAAAGGTTAAGAAAACTACCACACATACATCCGTGAACATATATGGATGGTTTAATGGAATTTTTTATATTAATTTCTCAGAAAGTTTTCTTTTCTTTCTGAACAATGAGGCAACTGTACACTAAACAAACTGTATTAAAATGTGTTTACACTGAGTAAAGTCTTAAACTTTATTTTGCTCGACTCACTGTCAAATGATCTAGTTATTTTACTTTTATGCACGTTGATGCTCTTCTGGCAAGCATGAACATCATCATTCAGTCATTCTTCAAACAAAGATTGGATTTAGAATTGCCCATGACTCATGTCATGCAACCAAATCCATTTCTCAAATATTATGTCTAATGTGTAGTACAGTCAAAAGCTTACATACACCTTGCAGAATCTGCAACATGTTCATTATTTTAACAAAATAAGAGAGATCATACAAAATGCATGTTATTGTTTATTTAGTACTGACCTGAATAAGATATTTCACATAAAATATGTTTACATATATTCCACAAGAGAAAATAATAGTTGGATTTATAAAAATGACCCCGTTCAAAAGTTTACATCTTTTTACAAAAGTGAATCTTAATACTGTGTTGTTACCTGAATGAAAAGTGATGAAAACCTTTTGAATTTGAAGATCGAGGTCAATTTAACTTATTGTGTCTTCTGGGAAACATGTAAGTATCTTCTGTAGCTTCTGATGGGGAGTAATACATTTTTTAAAAATTAGATATTTAGGCAAAATAAGAAAAATGTACACATCTTCATTCTGTTCAAAAGTTTTCACCCCCCAGCTCTTAATGCATGGTTTTTCCTTCTGGAGCATCAGCGAGCGTTTGAATCTTCTGTAATAGTTGCATACGAGTCCCTCAGTTGTCCTCAGTGTGAAAAGATGCATCTCAAAACCATACAGTCATTGTTGGAAAGGGTTCAAATACACAAGAATGCTGGAAAACCAAAGAATGAGCTGAAGGATTTTTCTGAAGAACAGCAGACAGTTTAACTGTTCAGGACAAACAAGGGACTCATGAACAACTATCAAAAAACAAAAAAACGCAGCTGTGGATCATTCAGGTAACAACACAGTGTTAAGAATCAAGGGGATGTAAACTTTTGAACGGGGTCATTTTTATGAATTCAACTATTATTTTCTTTGGGGATTATATGTAAACATCTTTTATGTGAAATATCTTATTCAGATCAGTACTAAAGAAACAATAACATACATTTTGTTTGATCCCTCTTAAAATAATTAACATTTTGCAGATTCTGCAAGGTGTATGTAAGCTTTTGACTTCAACTGTACATGCTTCAGCACATTCGAAACCCCTGCCAAGGAAATTTGGATGAACTCCCATCTTACACGGCAGACAATGCATATTTCAATGCATATCTCATTTATGCTTACACAGTCACATAGAAACAGAGACAATTATATCGGCAATATATTTGATTTTCAGTGTCAGGACAACAGCTGGATTTAGTACATGTAATATTACTAATATTAATATTTCATCTGTGAGGAGGAGGTCAATATTCACCTCTCATTCATTCAGATTATGAGGACAAAAGTGAAAAGATATTGTGTCTCTGCTAAGAATAAAAACAAGGGCCCGTTTACACCAAGGGTGATAACTATAAAGATAACTTAACTATAATACAGTTTTAATAATCATGCTTATTCTTTGACAATAGTGAAGTCCACACCACAGCTACAATGTCAACAGCACAGAGGAACGATATTGTTGGAATCGCTTCCAGAACAATCCTTTTCAGCTGATGAATGATAAAAAAAAACCTTTGACAGCCAATCAGAATCCACCCAACTTTAGCGCTCTCGCGCATTTAAAGCAGCAGATGTTACCGTTTACTGTTGTAGATGCTAATGTAGTTACCATGATAGTTGCAGACCTTTATGCTTAAAGAATTATGCAAAATCTATGCTGAAGTCGCGTCACAGTTCCCCAACTTGCAGGTGAGCTCTTGGTTGTGTTGGATTGAGCAGACTGCCCTGATCTGATGTTCTTTGCAGGTATGATAAACAGAAAGTGCAGACAAACATCTCTTTCAAATAACACAAGGTTATCTGCAGCAGATAAAGCATTGTTCCTCGTGAAAATAAAGTGACAAATATACATAGATAAAGAGGGGTGTTTGTGCTAAAAAGATAAACAGCTTCTTTATTTACATATGAATGTCATCATTTCATACCAGAACAAACCCCTGTGACAAAGAAACACCCTGTATTATACCTTTTTTTAAAAAAGAGAAGTTTTTTACAGTAATAATATACTGTAAAAGAATATACTTAATGTTTCTGGACACTTAATTGCATGTTATTTGCAATTAAATGAAAATATGTCATAATTAAAATTTACATTAAATTAAATTAGATAAGCTTAAGAGTGTTTTGACCCATATATGTTAGATTTAATCTTTATACGTAATAAATTAATTACTTCTATTATCTTTGAATTATGGTTAACGTGCTGCCAAATATACTGACTATATACAGTAAATATGCCGAATATCCTAAACTTAAATACTTTTCATGTAATTTCTAATGTAAAATGTCAACACACCAGAATAAGCATACTTCTTTAAAGAATGACCAAAGATATTTAAAATGCACTTTAAGGTTAAACTTTTTTTTACATTATTACAAAGTGCATTTTAGTTTGTTAAGAAGCAAAGTGAACTCTCTTTGAGGACACTTAAGTGGACTTTTATTTCAGTAATATTTTATTATCTGCAAGTACAGCTTTAAAAATATCCTTTTAAATACAATACAGCACACGTCTTTTTCACAAGGGGATGGCACTTAATTGTGTGTAGCTGGTAATTAAGACAAAGGTTTGTGCAGTGATATTGTGTGCAAGAATGGCACAACTGTTTTGTCTGAAAAATAATGTCTACCTCTGCACATTTTATTAGAACATTTTCCAAACGGACTAATTACAGTGATTAGACCCAGTGTAACCTGTCAGGGGGTCAGGAAAACAGTGACATAAATTGTGAATAACTATTATAATAATTATATATGACCATAAGACAAGATTGTGTTGTAACCTGAACTGCTTACTGCAAAGCATGCTGAATCTACTGCTGTATTGTTTTATGATTATGAGTTTTAGATTATCCATTCAGCTAAGTGTACCAAAAAGAGGTTGTTTATAGTTGTATACTGATGTTGAGATATTGCGATATAAACTAGGGAGAAAGTCTGTGTAGATTACAGCTCTCAATCTCCTTCATGAGACGCACGGGAAGTTATTTTCAGAGGCACCGAAGGACTTCTCACATATCCTGGTTAACTGCTTTTCCAGTCACACTTTTAATTTGGGGACACATTCTCACTATTAACTATGTCTTTTACCTCAATAAACTCCTAATTTTCTGCTTATTAATAGTTAGTAAGGCAGTTGTTAAGTTTAGGTGTTGGTTAGGATTAGGGATGTAGAATATGGTCATGCAGAATATGTGTTTTATAAGCACTAATAATAATAATAACACATTTTTAATATACAGCCAACATGTTAATAAGCAACTAGTTAATAGTGAGAATTGGACCCTATAATAAAGTGTTACCAAAAGCTCTCATCAGAACCAACCACAAGGGAAAAATCCATTCCATGCACAAACTATCCAGCTCTTTGTTTTGATAAAAACTGTGAACTTACCACCGGTGAACCCATTCACAAACAATGGTAGGACCTTTTAAGAGTAAAATAATCCAGATATCATTACACAGGTCCGGCCGGTTATATTATTGGCCTCTATTGTTTTAGTTCAGCACTGGTTGTGGAGTGTGTCTGGAGCTCATGTAGAGGATAATCCTGCAGTGTTCCACTTGAATGGCTTAGACGGCATGAGGCGAGGGGTTACGGGGAGGAGAGAGAGAGAGAGAGAGGGTGTGATCACACCAGCACTCTGGGGAACATTGTGATGGAAAGCTGCTGGGTTGCTCTGGTGAGGAAACATTTGTGCACTTGCTTTGAGTTTTTAAGATGAAGCTGTGGAACAAGACATTTTGTCAAATGAAACTCAACCACAAACAATCACACCAGTCAAACCAGTCAAGATGACAAACGACAGAAAGGATGCTTTCACTCTTTAGGAAAGCAATCTCAAGCAGCCAACCTTCAGCAGTATTCAGTAAACATCACTGCTTTAAAGCAGAACTGCAGTCATCATGTATGCATTAGGAAATTAGTATCTAGCCTTGTGAAAAAGAACGTGCACTTGTAATTTACTTCAGATTTTAAAAGCATGTTAACTGTACTTGCAAAAATATATAATGTTAATGAAATAAAGGCCACTTAAGTACTTAAACCAAAGAGTGTACACTTTCTAAAACACTTTTAAACACACTTAAGTGCACTTTGTAAAAATATCAAAATGCCTGGAAAATCTGCACCCAAGTTCACATGGTAGCAGCACAAACAAGATGGTTTGCCTATCGTCACGATGCTTCATTAATACATCTAATTAAACCTGCAAGCAGCCAGAGAAATAACACCAGCTTCCTGAAGAGAGGCCTCCACAGGTTTGGAGTCTAACAGAGGTGACAACCCAAATCAATCCACTAATGAAATGAGGGAATAGTCAGGTGAACTGAAGGGACAATGGTCTGTTTTTATATATGTTTTATTTCCATGTGAGTGTTGTCTGCAGTAGCAGCTGTTGGGCTAATATGCGAATCCACAAAAATAGTTTTACATTCAGTACCTCAGACTTGAATCATTTTGATGGTTGAAAATTGCCTTATTATGTATTTTACATACAGGTCACAGAACTTTATTAAATATGTACATTTTAAAAGCATTATTATATATAATTCTAATTAATGGGTTAAATTGACAGCCCTAATATACTACAGTGGGTACGGAAAGTATTCAGACCCCCTTAAATTTTTCACTCTTTGTTATATTGCAGCTATTGCAGCAAATCATTTAAGTTAATTTTTTTTCCTCATTAATGTAAACACAGCACCCCATATTGACAGAAAAACACAGAATCGTTGACATTTTTGCAGATTTATTAAAAAAGAAAAACTGAAATATCACATGGTCCTAAGTATTCAGACCCTTTGCTCAGTATTTAGTAGAAGCACCCTTTTGATCTAATACAGCCATGAGTCTTTTTGGGAAAGATGCAACAAGTTTTTCACACCTGGATTTGGGGATCCTCGGGAGTGAAAGAGTGAAAAATTTAAGGGGGTCTGAATACTTTCCGTACCCACTGTATATGCTTGGCAGATATCTGCAGCTATTTATAGTGCATTCAAGCTATGAGTTTTTATCAGTATGTGAACTCCCTGTTAAACAGGCCTGCAGCCTTGCTGTCTCTAGCACTGTGATCTACCAGTTGAGGTAAAGGAACACTAAAGAAATCAGCATTAAACGCTAAAGGACGTTCTTTAGGGACAGAGGGGGAGATGGGATCAGGACACATAATAATTGGGACTCTGACTTGCGCTGCCCACGTGAGAGCCATAATTCATTTCTGCAGCTTATTCACTTGATACTGCACCGCTTTTGTTACAAGAGCTAGTACATATTGTCAGTTTCTTGGAGTGAGCTTATTAGGACGGGTTTCTTTGAAAAAAAAAAAAAAAGTGAAGGGTTAACAGATGCCTAGTGAATGAAAACTACCGCATATACATGTAAACCTATTATAGTAAGCAGATTTCAGAGACTGCTGCTAAATATATAACACACATCTACCTGCAGCAACTGGGTTAGGAGGGTTTGCTACAGACAAGTCTTATGAATTCACTCAGATTAACTGTCTGATCCATAAGAGACTATTAGATATTAAACAATTTAAGTGCAGTTAAGTAAGTGCATCCATAATGCATGTTTTTGCATGCTAACACTCATTGCATTACATGCAAACTCACGTTTGTTACATGCAAAATGCATTTTCTATAATTTCTTACAGAAATGCACAAAGAATGTGAAACAGGTCATTTTTGGAAGTTAATTAGATTACTTTTGTGCACAATCACTCATGCATTATGATCTGCAACACCTACCCGACTCATTGCATTCAAAACAGTCATTTCAGAAATGCACAAGGTATTTGAAACCGCTGGGACGGCATTTAAATCTCACTTTTGATTATAATAAAATGCTGCAAGTATGCTTGACTGAATACATCCCCGCTCTTCTCTATCATTAAAAAGCGCATATAATGCTCCACTCCATCATTTGTCTCTTTTAAATAAAAAAAAAGTATCTTTTAAATAAAAATCTGTTTGCTTTTCACAGGCGGTAATAGTGCAGTGTTAATTGTGGCAGACAAATAAAGCACAATCTATAATAAGCCCAATTTACATACAGAGGAGGCATGTTTGTGCTGAAGATATTAACTTAATTAAATGGCACAATGCAGTGCAGATAAACCCTATTTTATTTATTCATTTTAAAAAGTTGTATTTAGAAAATCTAATATTAAAACCTAATATAAAAGAGTATTATCTCTATAAAAAAGACAGTAAAAATAGGGTTCGATGTGCTGTTTTAATAAGAAGGAATTCATAATTTCATAATGATTTTTCACAGGTGTTTTCCCTGTTGCTTGAATTACACATTTTGTGGTGTTTTAGGTGTTAAAGGAAATGTCCATGGCAGAAAATTACCAGTATGTTTTTCAGTTTTCTGCAGATTTTTTTTTTTTCTTACAGTGCAAAAGGGCTGAGAACAAAAAAGCGAGAGATGAAAGTGTAGTTGTACAGTATGTGAGGTGGAGCAGGTGTGGTGAAGTGATATGGAGAGGGAGGAGTGTAAGAGGGAGAGCGGCCGATCCTGCAGGTGAGGTCTGGCTACAGTCCATTATCTAAGCAGCTCAGAGCAGAGACGCCACAGCTAATATCTGAGGAGCTTACAGCATGTAAGAAAAGCATGCTGGCAGTTGCCAGGAGACAGCGCTCACTCAGATAGAGCTTTCAGCAGAAGCGGCCTGATTGGCTGAGCCGTGATCAAACAAGTCATGTGACTAGAGGTTCAGGGGGTCTGATGTAATGTGGAAGAACGGCCATTAAGAGATTAATCATCAGAGAGAGTGTGTATGTGTGGGGGTTGTTTGCGATCCTCTGGAAGCATGATTGTTAGCAATGTCTATGATTTTGTGATTTGATAAACACAGGTAAGCCAGCATTGAAGACTGCTTTTGACATGATATTGGGAGATGATCTGGCAGCTGGACTCCCAGAGGTCGCTCAGCTCTTGGCCGCAACGTGTATAATTCGCCCTCTTAAAGCGGTACTAAACTGCAGTGGAAACGCAAACCGAGTCGTGCCGAGCCGAGTCGTACCACGCAGTGGAAAGGCACCATAAGACAATTATACAGAAATACTTTGACGACAGACTTTGCTCAGGCATTACAGAATGACCATAACAACATTTCAGATACTGTGCAACGAGATCGGTCCACTGGTTATTCAAGTTATCCCGTCCCATCGTGCAGTCACATGACTTTTTGATGAGCATGGTGGAATTTATTTGATAAATGTGTTTCCATCGTAGTTTATGCACATTCTTTCTTATCGGATAAAAAGTTTATCCTACTCAATTGTTGCGCATACGTTTTGTATGCGCATTTTTATAATTAATGCGCATCTTGGCTTTTCCATCCAGCGTTTTAATGCGATATTCCAAAATACGCATAAAAATAGGTGGATGGAAACATAGCAAGTGACAAGACCAGAGGAAAAAGTAGGCTGAGGATGGAGCACACTGGCTTCACAAAGAGGGTGAGTCACAGAAGGTCATTACTGAAAGGGGTGGCTGTTCACAGAGTGCTGTATCAAAGCATATTAAATGCAAAGTTGACTGGAAGAAGAAAATGGGTAGGAAAATGTGCACATGCAACAGGGATGACCGCAAGCTTGAGAATACTGTCAAGCAAAGCTGATTCAAACTCTTGAGAGAGCTTTTCAAGGAGTGGACTGAAGCTGGAGTCAGTGCATCAAGAGTCACCACGCTCCGACGTCTTCAGGAAAAGAGCTACCAATCCACTTTTGAAACAAGAAACAACGTCAGAACCTCTTTTCAGATAAAAGTAAATTTTGCATTTCATTTAGAAATCAAGGTCTGGAGTCTGAGGAAGACTGGAGAGGCACAGAATCCAAGCTGCCTGAAGTCCAGTGTGAAGTTTCTGAAGTCAGAGATGATTTGGGCTGCCGTGACGTCTGCTGGAGTTGCTCCATTGTGTTTTAGCAAGTCCAAAGCCAATGCAGCCGTCTACCAGGAGATTTTGGAGAACGTTATGCTTCCATCTGCTAACAAGCTTCATGGAGATGCTGATTTCCTTTTCCAGCAGGACTTTAGCACCTGCCCACAGTGACAAAACCACTTCCAATGATATTACTGTGCTTGATTGGCCAGCCAGCATGCCTGACCTGAAGCCCATATGGAGTCTATGGGATATGTTCAAGAGAAAGATGAGAAACAGTGGATCCGAGCTGAAGGCTCAACAGCAGTGCCACAGGCTGATCGCTTCATGCCACACCTCACTGATGCTGGAGTTTGTGCTGAAGAAGCCCCGACCAAGTACTGAGTGCAGAAATGAACATACTTTAAAGAACTTGAACTTTTCTGTTTTGCAAATACTTTGCTTTGTCAACTTATCATCCCATGATGAGGCCCACAAAATACATTCATATTTACGGCATTCTTTATTTACTTATTAGCACAAGCAGAAGAACGCAGTAAAATGAAGAAATTAATGAGGCCCAGACTTTAATTTCCCAAACACTACTAACCTGTCTGCCATTGAGATTGAGACAATATACACACATTAGCTTTCATTTAAAAGAGAAAGACACTGGGCACATGTTACTATAG